CACAGTCACGAAATGCAGCGGTGGAATAGAGCGTAGTGTAGTTTGAGGAGTCTGCAGGGAGACGTCAGACACGCGGCGGCAGATGGAGACTCCCAGCGCTGCAAACACACCGAGCGTCCAGAACCGCGGCTGTCCGGCCTCGGGTGGACCAGTAGGAGAGTCGGACGCTCGGTCTGCCGCTGGCTGCTGCTTAAGCGAGTGCAGGTGGTGCAGCGTCCAGTCGCCGGTCCACATGCCACGTCGCTAACGGAGCCAGGCCTGCTCCGTGCCAATGCGAGACCGGGAGACACTCGGAAACGGGAACCCATCTGACGCAGATCCCGCTTGGCGCAGTTACTGCATTGAGCAAAACTGACTAAGCATGAAATCGAGCACGGGCGTCAGCGGGCTCAGGCACAGCATGATACGCAGACAGCTTGTGATGCAGCACGCACCAGAGGAGGCTCTCTGCGCGTGTCGGTGCGTGTGGAGTTGAGGACTAGATGGGTAGCCCTCCTGTGAAATGCAGGCCCCGAGCTGGGCGGCACTAGGGGCCCCCCGGGCATTGTTATCGGGACGCGACGCAAGCCACAGAGGCCGAGCCACAGCTATATATATATATATATATATATATATATATATATATATATATATATATATATTTATTGCTCAGGCTTTTTGTCTTGTTTTTAGTCCAAATATCAAAAAAAAAATCTTAAATCAAGAATAATTTTCTAAAAAATCCAGTAAAAATTGTCTAATTTCATAAGTTATTTTTTTCTTTTAAACAGTAATAATAATAATAACAATAATAATAATAATAATAATAATAACATACAAATGTTGAAATAACATATGAAAAGTTGTAATTAAAAGATGAAAAGTTGATTATAGTTTATTATTTAAAAAATTATTATTGTCCGATAAAGTTGTAATTATGAGATAAACGGTTAAAATTATGATTGAAAGGCAAAATTATAAGACAAAAAATTCAACGTTATGTGATTTAAAAACTCAAGATTTTAAAAAACATATATAGTGTAAGTGTTTATGATGATAAGCAGTCATGAAATAAAAGCTCCAAATTGACAAACAATGAGATAAATCACAATTATGAGACGGGTCATAACTATGAGATAATAAATTAACATTGGAAAATAAGTCAAATCTTTAATAAGAATATTAACTCCTTACATTTATATAGCACTTTTCTGGATACTCAAAGCACTTTACACATTTGAGGATGGTTTAGAGGCCAGAGGGCAAATTTGGCCAGGATGCCGGGGTTAAACCCCTACTCTTTTTTTTTTTTTTTCCAAGCACATCCTGAGATTATTCACACCACAGAGAGTCAGGACCTAACGTAAAGGTTTAACATCTCATCTGAAAGACGACACTCACTGAGCAGTATAGAGTTTCCATCAATGTACTGGGGCATTACAAACTCACACAGACCCCTGCTGGCCTCACTAACCCCACTTTCCCAACCTAGCTTTCCCATGTAGTCTCCCATACACAAGTACTGACCGGGCGCAGCCCTGCTTCGCTTCAGTGGGCGACCATGTGAGAGTTTCAGACTGATAGCTGCCGGCATTTATGAGATAATTATGAGATAAGTTAAAAATTATGATAAATTAACATTGTGATGATAACTCCAGGTTTATGAAAATTTGATGTTGTGTGATAGTTTATGATGGGAATCGATCATAAAATAAAAACTCAAATAATGAGATCATTTATAGTTGCGCGGCCGGTCATAATTATGAGATAAAAAAATGACAGTGTAAAATAAGTAAAGTTAACTTATTTTCATATTATTTAATTGTTTCACTTCTTAATTTTGACTAAATATTTCTATAAACAAAACAGTATGTTTGGCGTGTCTAGAAAACACTTCTTGATTTAAGATTTTTGAGATATTTGGACCAATAACAAGACAAACTCTGAACAAGGAAAAAATTAATCTTTTTCTGAGGGTTGCAATGATCAATATTAAAAAGATCGATTTTTTACGTTTCTACAGAACCAACCTAATATACAATAGCTTGCCTACTTTACCTTATTAACCCTTTAAAGTGACTTCTCTGAGTCACTTGCATCTATTACTCTCCATTTTGGACTGGAGCAATAACACCCTGAACACTATATAGATGGCCATGGATGGATTTGCTCTTCAGTGTTTGGACTTTCAGCAGTGAAAATTAAACCACACTGAACTGAACTAAACTGAACTCTGAAAACTGGACTGACTCTGTTTCAGTTTACTAGAACCTCTATGTTCAGCTGCTTTGACACAATCTACACTGTTCAAGCGCTAGAGAAATAAAGAGGAATTGAATTGAATGTCTGCACTGAGAGCATTCTGAAACTGAAAACATTTGGAAATTAACACGTATAACACTTATATTGTAGCAGATTTACATTCTGCAGACCATCTCAATGCTAATGCTAATCAAAATTCCACTATGTTCAAACAATACTGTATAAACGGCCTATTATGGTCTCTACCTATCATACAAAAAGGGACGCATGCATCCCACTAGAGCACTGACAGGTTCACATTCAAGACCACAAATAACTTGTAAAATATCATGTACTGTCATTATGGCAGACTAAAGAAATGAGTTATTAGATCAGAACTATTGTTTAAATGCTCTCCTAAACAGCACCTGGGGGACATTTGTAAATAATAATTTCACAGGAGGGTGTATAACTGTTTCTTCAACTCTACATGTCAATAAGTGAATGCAGTGATCTTTAATATGCAGCTATCATTAATTCTGACTGAGCATGATGATAATATATCTCTGTCTTTCTCCTAAACTGCACTGTTTCTCTCTGCTAACTGAAATGCACCCTCAGAAGTGAGCGAGGTGGAGCACTACATAGACAGCACATTCACTCGGCTCAGATTTATTGCAGTATAGTGTGACGCACATCAAACATAGAAACTAGTGGACAAGATAGTCTGTTTTAAAGGTAATACATTGAGGTTGTGTTATGTCATGATTCTGTGGAGAGAAAATAATTTAAATCATGAGATATCAGACATGACTATAAACAATAATTGTAAATAAGAATTATTATTCTGATAGTTATGATAAGTTATAATGATTTAGACATGTTTATTTACATGATTTGAGATTAAAACTCAGTTGAACAATTAAAAAACCCAAATAATTTTAAATAAATGAATGAATGAATGCAAAATAAAGTTTTAATTTGATAAAATATTTGTTTAATTTTGATAAACCTCAAATGTGATAAAGTCCAAACTGATTAAGATGCACTAATTAAGTGATGTTGTGAAAGTGCTGTAGCGCTGTCTCTCTAGTGTCTCTGCATCTCTGCAATAATAATAACATTTGCCTTGCCTGTCTGTTTATCCGTCTGTCCGTCTGTCTGTCTGTTTCTCTCTGCATGTTTGCTGGTTCTCTTCTCTTCTTCTAGCTGCCATTATTGTGACTCAACTCACCACGCCGTATGTGCGTATCGCACCCGCTGCCGGCGACAGCCAACTAACAGGTCAGAAGCAGTGTGTGTGTGTAAGCCTGCATGTTGTGTCTGTATATATACACAATATATACTTACACAGTATATATATATATATAGATACACAATATATTTAGTAGCATTTTTATTGGAATTGTAGGAAATTACAGCTCAATGGTGCATTTTTATTGGAAATGTTTATTTATTTGTAAGATATTATTATATTTTGCACAATGATTAGAATAGAGACAATAACATTTATATTTTAAATTATTGGATCA